GTCCCCGAGCCACGGGAGGGGCCGCCGGGCCGGGCCGGGCCTGTGCCGAGCCCGGCTCCGTGCTCCGCACAGGCCCGGCCCGCGGCCTCGCGGGGCTGCAGGCCGCACGGCGCCCGCGCCACCCGGGCGGCCAGCGGGGCGCTCGGCAGGGCTCCGCCGACCCCCTCCAGGGCCTCCGAGTCCGGCGGAACCGGGAGCCGCTCCRCGCTTGTCACTGCCTTCAAATCGCACGTATTTTGCCGTGTATTTCCATGGTAACTTCACCTCGGTGGTCTAAGACTCAATAAGTCATTAAATGTCTTGGAAGTCACATCTTTTACAATAGAATGGAAATGCAGAAAACTGAGTGTCAGCTGCAAAACGCGAGGGACGCGTCTGTGCTGCAGCCTGGAAGCGGCTCCTGGGACGCAAAGTCCCGTGCGATGCGTGTGGAACGAGCCGCAGCTCCGGAAAGCCAAGGAGGCTGCTCCAGGTTCGGTACAGAGCTCGTGCGCCTTGCAAAAGTAGGTTTATTTGATGGTGCAATTATGAAAATGCGTTGGAAAACAGTTAAATCAGTACCGTATTCAGAAGCTACTGGCTAAATTGAAGACCACTTGAGCTGGCTTGATTGCAGTAGATTAAGGTACACAACTGCAAAGAAGCCTCAGGATCCTTGTATTTCAAAGAATTTTTTAGCTCTTTACCAATGGTAACATTTTAGCAATCACTTATAGATACTGCATTATAACACGCGCTTTTATTCTCCTAGCTCGTCTCTTACTGATCAGACCTATGGTTTCTTTTTCAAGTTAATTAAAGTCTTAGAAGAAAGGGAGGTTCGTGCAGCCCTTTCAGTGCAGTGTTGCTACCTGAACTCTTCTTCTTGCAGGAAGACAAGAACAGAGCACGATGAGCAACAATTTAAAAAGCTTTAGAGGGGAGAATGTAACTTCTGCAGTCACCTGCTCTGCTGGGAGCTGTAAGTCCATACTTTGGGTTGTTCAGAAAAAAACCAAACTGAGAGAATGAATAGTAGTAACGGGACAGAGAAATAGGAATCAGCAAGGAATGATTGAGATTGGAGACTGCAGTCTCTTCTGGGGCCATTGGTTATACCTAGGAGTTGAGCGAGGCTGGAAAGGGTGTCCCATGCAACTGAYTGAATGTGACACCACCATAGTTTAGGGCTCTGCTGTGGATTTATTACACGTAGAACATAAATTTCTGCTTTGACTTGTCTCAGTTGAAAACCGAGCTGCAGTACAGATACAAAAATCACTCTTTGTAGGGATTTTAGTGGTGTTTTATGTTGTGAAAAACAAAAGCAAGTGTCTCCCTATGAAAAGGCTAACACCAGAGATAATTTTGTGAAGTTTAGAAAGCTTTTTTAGAAATTGTTATTGGCATTTAGGCAGTGCAGTCAGCTTTAACAGCAAATATACAGCATCAGCAGAGAAACAAATCCCTGACCCATGGAACTTCCATTCTGAAGGTTGAATATTTACTAGAAAAAGCATATGGTGAGAAGTGTCTGAAGGCTTGTGGAGCTAAGTTTCATAGAGCAGGATAAAATAATTGGAAAGAGAAGTCAGATGGGAGAGATACATGACATGAAAATATGTGCAAAAGATACAACAGCATGCGCTGAAATGGCTGGACTCCAAGTAGGAGAACCAGACAGGCTCTTGGAGATCTTATGGACGTAAAAACCAGTAATTTGGGATCTTGCTGTAATTTCTTGCGAGTTACCAAAAGGGCATTCAGGCTGGGCTGGCAGCAAGAACAGGCAAAGAGAAGATTTCTCCAACCGCTTCCCCCACGTCCACCAAGACCAGGGGTTTTCCAGTGGGGAACTGCTTTCCAGCTCCTAGGTGATGGTGGTTCCTAGTCCAGAATTAAGGTCAAAACGGTACAGAAAACAATTTGGTAAGAGTTTAGAGGTGGAAATTCATTGTGAGAGCAAATTAAATCTGATGTGGACAGAAGAGAGGAGCACCAGAAGGCAGAAGTACTCAGTGCACAGGATGCGAACTCAGGCAAAGTTTTTCTTTTAATGCAAAGGGGAGAAGGAAAGCAGATGAGAAAGAAAATGTAGCAGAAGTTGCGTGAATGGGAACCCCTGCCTGCTTTGGGGTGAAATCTGCAGGAAATGGTCTGAAAAGATTTTGGGGAGGATGGGACAGTGTTACTAGAAGGCAGTCCCCAAAGGAAGGACAAGATCCTGCTCTCATGTAGTTCAGTGGGAGTTTTCCTACTGACTTGCACCATGGGACGGTAGTTACAGGTGGCCAGCTAGAACAGGAGGAGGGTGAGAATAACAGTTTGCTTTAGGAGATTGATTTTAAAGATAGTATCCAAGAGCTGGGGAAGGAGGAATAAAGTCTTGAGGCCATTTGTGTGCTCTGTGTATGAAGTGAGGTGTATGAAATGAAAGAAAAGTGTGTGATAATAATTTTAATACACTCTTCTGCCAGGGATATGGGGTTTGTTTCTCAAGACAGATTATGGCAACTGGAAAATCAGTGAAATCAGAGCATTGTAAGAGACTTAAAGCTTCAGAGCAGAGGGGAGACAATCAGCATTTCCAGGCTGCACGGGTATATATGGAGGTGTTTTGTGCTACAGATTTAGGTCAAAATTGTGCCCACATTTACAATTGTGCCAGTTAAACAAGAATAGTATGTTTGTTGTTTTTTTATTCAGATGCAAAATAATGCAAGACAACTATTAATGGTTCTAGACACCCAACATAATTAATTATATAATAACTACAATGATGTTAATCCTCAGCAGAATTAAGATCACTGGTCTCACAGGAACCCAAYAGGGTATCAGCTGTTTTGCCATTTAGACACTCACTCATCTGCCAGCCACCCCCAAGCTCCTTCCATGAAGACAACTTTGACAAAAGCCACCAGGAAGGAACCAAATTCAGCCTGGATTAAGATCAGTGTAGGGAAGATGCATCCCTTCCACAGGGAACCCTTCTTTTCTGCTAGCTTTTTAAGAAAAAAAATCAGAGCAGAGATTGAGCCAGTCTCTGCTTAGAGCTGCATATGAGATTTGCTTTGCTGGTTGGGAAAACTTGGGAGGAGGTTTGATCCCTTGGTCTGGCCAGTTAGAAGTTTATCTGTTGTAACCAACACTCACATTCTGCTTAGAAGCAGGYCAGCCAAGGACCCTGTCCTCCCAGGTGGGAGCTGCTCTGCTTTGACACTCTGTTCCTTTCGTGGGTAGACTTGAAGGCTTCCATATTGCCAACACTTTCAGAAGCACCAAATTCAGATCGAGGATTTTCTTAAGGAAAGGCAGTGAATAAAAAGCCTTATTATAAAAAACACCTAAGACTTAATTTAAGTATTTCAATAACTAACCATTTTCAGATGAACAGCTTTTCTTGTTTTACCTTCCCTACATTGAAGCTCTAACACCAAATAGGTAATATAATTATTTTGACAGGATCAACCCGTCAAAAAGCCTGACATATGTCCCCTTGCAAGGGCAAATGGAAGGGAAAGCTGGATGGAAAATGAGAGCTCACTAGACACACTTCAGTCCTGACATGAAGTTCACCATGTGCTAAGGTAAGTTCAGGTACTTTCTTCGTTAGAGTAATTAGAGGTACCTTAGAGGTAATACTAGAGAAATGCCATAAAACAAAGATAAGGTTTGATAAGCAATCCTCTTGTTTACGTACACACTATTCGTATTGATCCTAACGCAGAGATTTGCCTACAACTCAGGAATGCTGAGCATTTAAAAACTGTTGCTGAAATCATCGATGTGTTGAACAGAAGGCAATCTGTCATTTCATTCAGTTGTGCCAAGATTTCAAGCCATGCTTACACTGGGAATCTTGACAGACCCATAACTAAATACTATTGATTAACCATCACTGTGTTTTTATTGTTGTTATGCAGAAGGTTGTGCAACCTTCTGTTGGCTTCCCACACAGTCTACTGGAATATATTATTATTATATTGCTTATATTGGCAGCTAGACATATCTTTATTGCAGGCGCAGATTAAAATTACAGTATTTACACGCAGGTGTTATTGTTTTATTTTTAGCTTAATGATATAATTCACAGGGTCAACACATGATACAGACTACAAACATATGAAGAAAAAATCAAGAAAGGTGGAATAACTTTTTAAATCATACACTTGAAAGGATATCTTCTGTAGAACTATCTGCCAGTAGGAAGACTCGAGACATTAAATAATGCCAAGAATTATTATTTGAAGCCTTCAACAAATAATATTATCTTTATCTAACAAGGTTTCCTACCCAATGTTTCTGAATAGATGTTAAGAATTTATTTTCTAAACAACTTAAAATGTCAACATCAGTTGTCAGCAAAAACAAGATTTGCAAAGCCAGCAGATGGAGTAAGAGAACTTTTCACTTTTTTTCTAGCATCTAAAAGTAATTGGATGTTTGTAGGGCTCTATATTTAAATGAACAAACAAACAAAAAAAGCTGAAGCCATCTCCCTCGTTCCTCAGATTAGACAGCTCTCCAGCCCTGAGACCCMAGACTGAGATCTTTGAATCTTGTTTTGATTTTTGGCAGCCCCCTGTAACATCTTTTATCTCCCAGCTGGGGCTTCAGACTGCCTGGCAAAAGCTTCATGCTCTGTGGCCAGTGTTGAGTCATTTAGCATGGCTCCGACTAGGAATCCCTGTTTAGAATTACTCAAACACTACACAGGGTGCAATTACCTCACCTAGATCAAGGATGATCTTCAAATCCACGACTAAGCCTGATGTAAGGCTTTTCACCCCTCACACTGGTGTAAAATGCAAGTTACCTTCTTCCCTTTCCTCATTAAGCATTCCCAACCTAAGCTATCCATGATATATTCTGATTTTAGCCAGGAGGGAATTAAAGCTCCTGTTCTTGCCAAATGACAGAGTGCTTGCAGGCACAGATTCCTAAGAAATTGTAATAGGGAAAGCATAAAACATTAGCAGAGTATTTGTGCATTCATTGCAAATGAATATGGATGTAATTGGCTGTAATTTAATAAAGCTTATGTAAGTGCAACTGTAATACCAAAGACATAAAATGAGAGCTTTGCTTCCCTGCAATATTGTAACACAGTTAAGAAGGAAACTGAAAAATAAAGTGACTGAAAAATAAAGTAGCAGTGACTGCTACCGTCACTGTATTCCGCTACTAACATTTTGAGAACAGCAAGGTATGACATGGCTTCTGTCTGGGGAAATTAGAAAAACAGGACTGAGGATTAGCTGGATCTAAAAATATATAGGAAAGGAGAATTGGCAAACAAATAGGGAACTTTTTAGACAATAGATTTAAATAAAAATAGTTTACATAATGTGAAGTTGTTGAACTAATTTTTAAAGGTTGTTATAGAGGCCAAAACTATAAATGGACTCAAAAAGCCTTATGGACTCAGACAAACCCTTAGAAAGCCAAAAGCCATTAAATGCCCAGACCTTGATGCCTGGCTCTTGTTGGTACATTTGAGGAAAAATCATATTAGCCCTGTTTATTACTTGCTTTTGTTCTGCATCCATTGTTGAGCACTGTAAGAGACAGCGTGGCCATCCTTACATAACTTCCTTTTTCCATTATAAGCCATTCTTTCCTTACACTATATATTCTTTAAATTTGTAACTTTATGCAAAGTTTATATAGTTCATCTTCAAATGTAAAAAAAAAAWTCTTATTTTAAAGAAGTTGACATAAATTCAAKTAACTCAGTTTATATGAATAAAACTCAGAAATAGCTTAAATGGCACTTAATGAAGGGTATTTTTATCCCACAATTTGGTAAGAGATAGTAGCTTTATCTAAAGAAGTACATCTAGTAGAGCTCTGAGCACAAGTTACAATATTACTGATTTTTTCTTCACATTTTTTATCTAYCACAGCTATTATAGCCATGCATGCAAGAGAAAGGGTCACAGAGAACATTTAATTTTGAGCTTGATTTTGCAGGATTTCTYATTTAGAGAACACACTGAGTGCTGGAGTGGCTCTGTGTTGCAGCATCCAAGCTCTCAAAACCAGAGAATACATTAGCCACTTCAATGGGGAAACAAATTGGAAAGAAAGTACTGCAGACAGAGACAAGGGGAAGGATGAAGGGAGAGGTTATTTACAACAGTTTTGGATCAGAGATTCTGAATTTGTAATCAAATTACAGCAGCAGTCTAATTGCCTGTGCTAATTGCACACTTGCACTGTGGCAAGTCAGTATACAAGTAGGAGCTACTACCAAGTCAAACTTGCAGAAAGGAACTTTTAAAATTGCATTTAACATCCATGGCATTTGCATTCTCTTTTTTAAAGAATATAAAGTCTTTCTGAAAGAAAAAAAAAAAACACAAACAGATGGTTTCAAGGATATATATTGTGACATACCACATTTCTAATGCAGCAGTGTTGTATCTGAGAGTTTTTTAAATAAATTACCTAGAATATCTTAGTATATACAGAACCCTAAACAAAAATTATATTACTACTTCAATTTTTTGTTCTTTGAAGTTTGTTGTTAATCTTTTTTTCATACTCTTGTTTGGGCTAATCAAGATATAGTGTTAATGTAAAAATATTTTTAATAACTTTTTTCCCCATTACATACATTTTTCATACATCATGACAAAACAAGAAAGGGTACAAACAATTACTGTTGAAGTAAAAGCAGCTGCATTTGCCCATGTGAAACACTCTTGACCCTTCTCTGTTTTAAAGATTTAGCAGCTGGATCTCAAGAATCTGTCCTTATTAAGATTTAATTATAATAGCTCTTTTTAAGAATTAAACATCTATACATTATAAAGTGCATGTTGWCAATATMATACACTGGCTTCAAAAAAGTTGTTTGTTCATGAACTTTATAGTTTAACTATCTCAGTAGAACTAAAACTAATATCCTGATGAGCGGTGGTGACATTCACTTAGTTGCCCGAGTCTCATGATTTCTGTCTTATTCCATGCTGTACTGAGTGCCTCTTTCTACATACAGCCTGATGCAATGAAGAATTTATTTTAATTGCTTATAGCTAGGTTGACCTCAAAACTATCATGTTTTTCTCCATTACGTATTCTAGTAAATGGTTTTCAGTAGTACAGGTACAAGCTTTCCTAGTTTTTGCAGAAATATGCCTGTGTGTTATATTAATATACATGTATATATTTGTTTAAGAAGGAAAGGGAACGGGTACACATATTGAAAATCTTCTCTCCAAACTACAGTACAAAGATAAGACTAATTCTCTATTTTTATTGTCCTTGCTTTTCTTTATTTCAAAATGACCTTTAACTCCTGATGAATAATGATTCTCTTCTAAATGCAAACGATCATTTAGGTCTATTTAAAAACAAAACAACAACAACCCCTCTCCCCCCCAAAAATAGCACACAACATTAATCTTTATTTTGACTAGTTTAACATACAGTTTATTTATTCTGCAGAGTGTATTCTGCAATACAGTATCTTTGCTCTGTTATTGTTAATCCATTTAATTGTTAATTTGCAGTGAATCTTCTGGTAACCAGACAAATTATCAAGCTTCTGCTACAACGTATTAGAAATGACACATATCTTAGAAAAACATTTTCCAAAAAAGTTAATTTGGGATAAACCATCATGTCGTAGCAAACAAGGTAAAGAGTCCCTTTAAAAAGGAGACTATTTCATTGCCTCCCAGTTTAGATTCTCCATAGAAACGGTCCACAAATGAGATGGGAACCTGTTGAAATAAGCAAAACTATTTTAAGATCCGAGATTCAATAATCAGAAATTCTGTAAACAAAAGCAGTCTTTGAACTTGGCTTGCTTTAAGGATGCCCTAGAGCTGGAAAGCACTGAGAGTATTGGTTTTCTCACCTTTAAACATGACCTAAAGGCAATACTGAGTGGCTGGTTACTACACCAATTTGAGTAAACTATTCTCAATAGTATCATAACTGCACTAAAAACCTCGAGGCTCAAAATTAACCTTTTATTTCCTCTTTAAATTCACTACTTTTGAGTCAGTGCCTCTAGAAGGCAGTGTCCTTGGCTACCTTGAAAAAGCATCCTGCTCAACCTCGCCACTAACTAGAAGACATATCTGAATATGGCAGTTAATATATGTGCATGTTTACAAGTCATACCTACCTCTGTAGTTCTTAACCATTTTACAGATTATAAAAGACAGTTTGAAATATTAATTTTGATTTTATTATGTGCTTATACTGTATAGATGATGTACACACTACTCCAAAATGTTAGAAACATACAGCTTTTCAGTAACCTGAGCAAATACTTTAGCAGCTCGCTCTGACCATACTGTATTAGAACATTCGAGACTTCAGTATATGTTTGTGTGTGAAATTAAAGACACTTCAGGGACTAGAATTAAAAAATAGGAACAAAACTGCATTTGCAAATGTCATTAAAAATCTGGCTGAGACATCTGCTGGAATTTGCAACCAGAAATCAGCTGGCAAGTGGAACACATAAGCTGTGCCAGGACTGAGGATTTCTCCTAACTCAAAGCAGATCGATCTATGGTAGAACAGAAGCCAGGACATTTGGCAACAAGAAAATACCTAGAAATGCATAGACTTGCTGCTAGAATGGCTCTGGCTGTCTTACAAGGATCCCTTTGATGATTCTTAAAAGCGTCCTAGCAGCTAGGGAGAGCTAAGGGACATGAACACAAATCACTGAAGACCCAGACAGAGTAGGATGTCAGAAATGGCACTTTCTGACTAGTAATGAATGAGGAGTTTATATCTAATTGGGTAAAAGATACCTAATCTTCCCCAGTACTGGAATTAACCCCTTGCACAGTTGCTGCACTCTGCACTTCTTGCATAAGAGATATCATAAAGATACCAGCAAGAATGATTCAATGAAATCGGAGAGGCAGAAATCAAGACTGCAGAGAGTATAGGATGAAAAAATACTGTGTGGAGTTTTTCTTTAATGGCTGTATTAATATAGAGTGTTTATATTCATATAGAGAGTTTAGAAATGGAAAGGTGTGTTAGCTGGCAAGCTGGGGAAGAATGAAGAAATGAGTGGCAGAGGACRAGAAATGAGGAATAGGTTACTGGAGACAGTAAAATAATCTGACAAGAACAAGAATTAAAAGATATCTGTACAGTAAAGGGGAAAGAAAAGGTACAAAGCAGGTTCATGGCATATTTTGACTTTTTTTTTTTTTCCTCCCTGTTGAGGAGCATGGTAGTGTCTTATTAAGAAGAGGAGGAGGAAAAGATGCAAGAAGCATTTTACATGTGGTGGAATCAATGATATGTCATTTGGCTAAGGTGAAAGAGGTGGAGTTCAACATGTGTAATTTCCTTAAATTGATTTGAAAATCCCTCTTGAAGGCAGTCAGAATTTTCTAGGCTCCCAGTAATCTCCATGTACATTTAAATGAAAACACAATACACTTATCAATACTTTTACTATACCTCTCCAATAGTATATCCTAACTGTCTAGCCCGAACAATCATCTCCATCTGGAAGACGTATCCTTTAGAAACACATTTTTCCACCAGTTTCTGTAAGACTTCTTTTCTGTATAACCTGYAAATGATTACAAAGAAATTGAAACTTACGGCATAATTTTTGAATTTCAGAGATCAAGACTGCATGGCTTGGTATCTTATAGTGATAAAAAAAAAAAAACCCACACACTGTAAGGGATTACAGTTAAAAACTTCATTAACAAAGTTGTAGAAATAACAGCTCTTGCAATTTAATCTACAATTTCTTACTCCCACCTAAAACAAATTCCATAGTCCTCAGTAAAAGAGGTGTTCTCTCATTCCCTCTTTTTTTTTTTTTTGTTGTCATTTAACAGTTTCTTGATCTCTAGTAAACCTTACGCTTGCAAACCAGATCCATACCTGAAACTCCCAGTTAAGTCAGATGCTCCTGGTCTCAGCAAAACCTGAGTTAAAAAATTGGCACCACGACTGTGAAAGGAAACACAAACATCAGAATTACTTAGTATACAATTCAGAAGGATCAAGCAGTTTCTGGAAAATAAGTAATCATCATCATACTAGCCAAAAAAGAAATCTCTGATTCCTCATTATGAAACAATTATATTCCTAATATATTCCCAATACTAGATTTGATTTGGGAATGTTCATCTTAAAGGCAACCCCCAAATTTTTGTTTTGCAAAGACAGATCATTACACAGATTAATGAACTTCTCTGTGAAGGAAAGAACAGTGATTCTTAGAAAACAGATTTACAATTTTGCTGATATTTTAAAATTGGGGAAAGTGTCATATTCTCTGCTCGTATTCTATTCTTCCTATGATGAAGCCAAAGGGCTATCTCAAAAGGATACTCTCCAGATTTGTCCACTCTTACACACAATTTCACCAAACTGGTCATATTAAGTTATTTCTTAATGTTTAACTAAAGAATTTGCCAATTATTCATTGCAATCAATTCTATTATTTAATATAGCTTTGCAATAACAATAGCATTCATTAAAGACTTTGTTCATATCACACAGAATGGCAATTTAAATAACTGTAATATTCCTGGAGGTGAATTGATAGCGTTGTAATTTATTGTTTGATTCTGTACTTGAAAGCCTTAAAAACTTCTAAACAACAAATTTAAGTGCAAACAACATGAAAAAAYACTAACCTGATTAATTTTCTTTTCAAGTCCCAGCCATATACTCCTCCATTTCCTTTGTATCTTGTCCCAGATACAATATCAAAATTTCCTTCTTTCTGCTTCCTGCCAGAAGTTGTTTTTATAGCATAAGAAATAGTATAATATAAAATATAGATTTAAATATTTAATTTACACAAATGCATAGTAACAAAAAATAATAAGCCTGGAACTACCCTCAGCATACCATGCCTGAGTGCTGCAGAACCTTACCCAAAGATTACAAACAAACAAACAAAAAAAGCAACAAMAAMAAAAAAAATCTTTATTCARTCAGTATCCATACAGACACACACACTAAACGTCCCTTAAGATTAGAAGGTGCTATTTAAATATATGGCTTTGAAAGCAGAACAACCAGTAAAGAAAGAAGTACTTTGCAAACATACCATTTGTTTCTTTAAACTTAGGGAACTTGGTTCAAACTAGGAAGTACTATGTTCTGGATTACTTGGAATAAATCTAATGAGGTCCAATAACTTCAATTCTTGCCAGTTGTCTTACTGCACTTAAACAGCTGTACAATAATATAAAGCTTGCAAATACTACTACAAAATGATAAACGCTCAGAAGTCACTCATATTAAAATTGGCACTCACCTCATAAACTCTGCAATAAATTTAGGCTAAAATAGAAAGAATTAATAAAATTTTATTAATAAAAGAGAAGTGTGGGGGAGAAGTCAATTATAGCATTTGAAAAATACAATACATAAAATACAAACATACATGGTGAGAAAGGTCAGCATCCATAATAACAATAAAATTCCCAGTGGCGTGTTTCATTCCATGGATATAAGCAGTGCCTAAGAAAAACAGTATAGAAATAATTTCCATCACTATTTTAACRAATGTAGTCTTCTAGACAGCCTGCATTTACATTTAAAAATCTCTAAATGATACTAGAAAAGGATTASCTAAATACACTTTTAAAACCACGTTTGAATTGTCAAATGTAACATTATTTTTCTTTTCCTCTGTGATTTCAGCACTAGATTTTATAAATGCAAACTTTGGCATCTCTACTGCAATGAAAATAACTACAGAAAAATGACTTAATAAGTGGGTCACCATTTGAAATAACATTTCCAGTAGTGCCATAAGTAATTATGAGCCAAATAAAAATGAAAACAGAACACAGGCAACAAAATAGCATCCAAAAATAATGGAGAAAATTAAGATGCCCATTTTAATGCATAGCTTTGAAAAAATGGCTTTTTAAACTCAAGATTTACTAGTAGTAGCATTAGGTATTTTGCAATATTACAGTATTACTCAGTAACACTGGTCATTCAAACAAGAATCAAAAGTTTTCTTAATTTAAGCTTGTGATTCGGTTATTTGGGAGGGGAGCAGGGAAGAAACATCAACAGGAAAGCGCAATCGTACAGAACGACAGGGAGCACAGTGTGCAGGTCTGAACCTGCAGGAAACTTCCTATAAATTCACTGTGACTTTGTGCTGTTTTTAAGTTTGCTTGTGAATTTTGCTGCAGAGCTACTTCTAATTCCGAGCTTTATTACGCTTCCTCTGGTGCTTTATACACCAAGAGTTAATAAGTACTTACCCAGGCCCAGCTTTTTTGCTCGAGGTCTTAGAAGCTGCAGGATATAGTAAAATATACACATATTACATTTTTAATTACTTAACAAATTTTAATTGCAACATTCTATACCGTCAGGGTATAAAATATCYTAAGATACTTTGTATGCATTATTTCAGTATTTTAAGCATTATTTTATGTGTAGTTAGTTCTTTATGTATTATTGAAGTATTCCTCCACGACCGCCCGGGGGTCTCGGGGCAGGCCCGGGCGCCCCGTCCCGCTCACTCACGATCTTATCCGGCCCGTAGATGTCCACCAGCTGCTCCGCCACCTCCTGCGTCCCGTCGGGGCTGCCGTCGTCTATCACGATGATCTCGAAGTCGTGGCCGCTGCAACGGGGGTTATTGGGACATGAGCCCGGGGGAGGCCGGGCGGGCGCGCCCCGCGGCGGCGGCGCCGGTACCTGTCCTGGAAGCTGCGCACCAGCAGCCACACGACGAGCGGCAGGTTCTCGCGCTCGTTGTACGTGGGCAGCAGCACCGACACCTTGTCGGCGGCGGCGGCCATGGCGGCGGCGCGCGCCTCCCGGAAGCGGCGCGGGGCGGAGCGCGCGGCAGCCAATGGGCGCGCGCGCCTGCGCCGGGGCGGCGGGGGCGGCGGCGGAAGCGGCGGCGGAAGCGGCGCGCGGACATGGCGGCCATGGCGGGCGGCGTGGAGGCGGCGCGGCTGCGCGCGGAGATCGCGCGGCGCGAGCAGGAGCTGCGCGGGCTGCGCGAGCGGCTGGACGAGCTGCTGGCGGCGCCGCCAGAGCCCCCCGGCGCCGCCGCCGCCGCCATCCCGCGCGAGCTGCCGCCGCTGGCGCCGCCGGCCGCGCTCAGCCCCGCCGCCATCCTGCGCTACAGCCGGCAGCTCGTGCTGCCCGAGCTGGGCGTGCGCGGGCAGCTGCGCCTGGGCCGCTGCTCCGTGCTCGTCGTGGGCTGCGGCGGGCTGGGCTGCCCGCTGGCGCAGTACGTGGCGGCGGCCGGCGTGGGCCGCCTGGGGCTGCTGGACCACGACGTGGTGGAGACCAGCAACCTGCACCGGCAGGTGCTGCACGGCGAGGCGGCGCGCGGGCTGCCCAAGGCCGTGTCGGCGGCGGCCGCGCTGCGGCTGCTCAACTCGGCCGTGCACTACGTGCCCTACTGCGGGGCGCTGGGCCCGCGCGACGCGCTGGCCCTCGTGCGGCAGTACGACGTGGTGGCCGACTGCTCCGACAACGTCCCCACGCGCTACCTGGTCAACGACGCCTGCGTGCTGGCCGGGAAGCCGCTGGTGTCYGGCAGCGCCCTGCGCATGGAGGGGCAGCTCGTCGTGTACAACTACCAGGGCGGGCCCTGCTACCGCTGCCTCTTCCCCGCGCCGCCGCCGCCGCACACGGTGACCAACTGCGCCGACGGCGGCGTGCTGGGCGTCGTGCCCGGCGTCGTGGGCTGCCTGCAGGCCCTCGAGGTGCTCAAGATCGCCTCGGGGATGGGCTCCTCCTTGGGGCAGACCATGCTGGTCTTCGACGGCCGCGAGGGCCGGTTCCGCAGCATCAGGCTGCGAGGCAGGAGGCYGGACTGCGCGGTCTGCGGGGACAACCCGTCCGTCACCTGCCTGCAGGATTACGAAGCCTTTTGTGGCTCYTCTGCGACGGACAAATGTCGGACCTTGTATCTGCTGCCCAGTAAGGACAGGGTGTCTGTAGAGGAATACAAAAAAGTGTTGGATGAGCAGGTTCCTCATGTGCTCTTAGATGTTCGTCCGCAGGTAGAAGTGGATATTTGTCGACTGGCACATGCAATCCATGTTCCTTTGARTAAATTGGAAGAAAAAGATGAAGAATGTCTGAAATATTTAGAAAAAAGAATCTGTGAAGAAAAGCAGGGGGCTAATGGCAAAGCAGCTTTTCCTGTGTATGTTGTTTGCAAATTAGGAAATGACTCCCAGAAGGCTGTAAAAATTCTGCAAGAGTTGCCTGTCCAGGAGCTTGTGATAGCTAAAGATATTAAAGGGGGACTTATGGCTTGGGCCACTAAAATTGACCCAACGTTTCCTCAGTATTAGCAATTTACATATTGCTGGAAAAGAAAGAATATTCACTGTAGATACTGTTTGGTTTCATGTTCTCTGTGTAATTGCTCTATGGATAAAATGGGGAGCTTGAAATGCCATGTTGCCTTTTTTCATGGTAGTTTGTTTTAAAAATATGTCATCTGTCTTTGTAGCTGTTTAGGTTCTGTCTTTATAAAAATATGAAGTCATGAATGGCAATGGAAGTATGTTTCTTGGTTATTATTTAATCGCGAAACTTGGACAAGTTACTTAATGGAAAACGGAGAATTCCTTCTGATTAGCAGTTGCAGTCTAGAGAGAGTCAAAGCACCAGAGCAGTGTTGGAAGTTCTTACCCAGTCCCATGTGTAACAGTGCACGCTGATTTAAAAGAAACTGCTGCYAATCTCAAGCTATGTGATAAGGAATTGCCAAGAAAACGTTCCTGCCAACAAGATTGCTTTGACCAGCATCTTTTTCTGTCGTCTCTTGGAGTATTGTATATTTATGAAAAAGTGCTCGCTACCGGCAGCAAAGTAAGGGTGGTTCTGTTGACATAATGACAGGAAAAGTGGAGTGGGGCGAAAGCCAAACTTCGGGTTTGTGCGGGGTTTCTCTGCTGCAGGGCTGCGCTTTTTTGATCCCTGTCTGGCTCAGGAAGGCAGCTGGAAGCTGAAGGATTTTTAAAGTTCCAAGTACAAGAAATGTAAGTGTAGTTGCTCACGTTGATGTTGATTGCATGGTCATACAGCCAGTCTGTCTGAGTTGTGGGGTTTGTGAAAGCAGTGCCCACAGGCTTAAAAACTGAGCAAAGGGACTTAAGAAGCCATCCAGCCTTTGCTTGTTGATCAGCAACAAATGTATTCAGCAACCTGTATAGGGAGAGTGAAGTTAACTCTTAATAGGACAAATTTTAGCACTGAAAGATTGTAAATTGCATAGAAAGCACTCTGTAAAAGTTTGGGAGCTTTCAGAGATTGGTAGGTAAAGGATTTTTGATAAGGATGATAGAAATGATCTGCTCTGATCTGCTGTGTTTGAACTTCTCACGTATGTGGTTCTGTGGGAGAGCTTCACAAATCAGGGACTAAACTGTACAACTGTTTTGTCCAATTTCATCTGATTGCTATTTTCAAGCAAGGCAAATCCAGCAGGTCTGTCTTTCAGGCAAGTCTAAAAGGCAGCYTCAAAAATTTACGTTCTCCAGTAAGCCAAATTCCTCTTCATTTTGATGGCAGGAGTCCCTCTCTTACCTGAAAACTGCAACAAATTCTGCACTGACAGAATTTCCTTAATCCAGCTGTTTGGTATAACAATCCATTTGGGCAGTATCCAAAAATAGTTTTCAAGTTAGTATAGCAAAATTTTTGTTGTCATGATTGTATCTTTATTATTATCCTCTTTGTAAGTATAGTTTGTAGTAAAAACAGTTCAAAACTACATGCTGGATTYTTAAAGTGCTGCAAGCATGAGTGTTTATTTCATATGAAAGCTCTAGGTTTTCGTTTTTAAAACTATGTCAGAGAAAAATTTTAAGGTTGTTTGCTAGGTGGCACTGCAAGTTTATAAACCAAATCATTCTTGTGGTTACAAAAGATGCAATCCAGCCTTAGTAAGGACTGAGGTTCCTTCACAAAAAACTTTTGCTATGCAATTAAACAATACAGAATAAAACTAGGGCAATTTAATAACAAGTACTGCATATATTATATATATTTTAAAAGAAATAGTTTCTGTAGGGTAACTTTCAGAGTATGTGTTTCTAAGTTTTTTTTTCTCATGCCTCTTGAAGGGCTTTTGCAGCTCATTGTGCAAATGGAAATTTGTACAAAAGGTTATTAGAAGCATTGGCAAAAAAATCGGTATAGCTCTTAAATCTGCTAAGAATCAGTACTTATATCTGTTGTTACTTGATAGTAACAAAAAACATGTTGAATGCTGTAAGAGGAAAGATTTCTCTTCACAGATAAATAAGGTTATAAAGAGGTTTACTGTATGTGGACACCAGATATATAACAGGATTTCTTTCTGAATTACAAAATATTTGTATTTTCAAGTCAGCTATTATCAAAACTTTTAGTAAGTTCATTTACAAAAAGAACAGGTAGCTGTATGTTAATTTACATATTCGCAGTAGCTAATTACTACTTGCCTTGATTCTTACTGACAAAACCTGCACTGGCCAATTTCATTTGTGTAAAAACTGGAATCTTATTAACATCCTGGCAGCATCCTTGCTGCAGGACWCATTAAGCTGCTGAGTTTTATTTTACTATGTTTTTGTCTAAAGATCCTCTGCTAGGGCCCACTGATGTCTGTGGAAAAACTGTGACTTATTTGGAAGAGTTTTAGAGCAGCATCTGAACAAGGAATTGCTTTTTCTTCTGAAGTGAGTATRTGTTCAACCCCTGCTCCTTTCTGTATGACATGAGAGGCTGCTGTCTTTAAGTGATCACTTAATACTAATAAAAGGTGGCAGGTCTTTCTTGTGGGAGAAGGCAAATGGATTGACCTAGGGCAGGCCACATTTACKTGAGTTTGTCTAAGAGCTCTCATCCAGAGGAGACAAAAGGCAGAATATTATAATCTCTGTCTGCACTGCCAAACCCTTTTGGTGTTTTTCAGACAGAACAATTACCTTGTAAAATGCCTTACAGCTTCTGTAATGGGCTGTCATGTAAATGTAAAGAACTTAAATAACATTGCTGGTTAGAAAAACAAATAATGTTAAACACAAAGCTTAAAAAGGAATCTGCTGGCTTCGCTTTTTATTTCTGCCGGAGGCAGAGAGGTGTTTTTTTGAAAGTTTCTGGGGCAAAGTTTCGGGAGGTTGTTTCCAGTTACTTGTTTAATAAAGTGAAAATTTGCTGCCTGTGGGCGGGTGATTTCTCAGACAGTGAATATGCACAATGTTACCTGTTCTAGCAGCCTCAGAGCTATGAATCATTTTAATGAATGCAAAACAAGATGAAGCTTCTCACTCCCTGTTGTGGTGAAAAGCCCTCACAGCGGGGGAGCTTGCAGCTTTGCTACTGAAAGCAAACCYCATCTCACATCCCGGCTTGCTGTGCTTGCTCAGGTAAGGTAGCCTCTTTTGTGATTGAAGACTCGTTTATGCTCTGAAGCAGTTGACAAATAAAAAGCAAGAACATCTTTTCTTATGGCTTGTTTTCTCCCTTCTCAGGCAGATCCATTCCAGAGTGAAGGAAGCATCACTCACCTCAGCAGGTTACTTCAAAGCTTGGACACATGTTGAATGACCGAGGTGGAGCCAAGTCAGCCTGCAAAAAAAAAACCCTGAACTTGATAAGTACAAATTGTGCTGCTTTGTTTCGTTGCAGGACCTCAGCCCTGCTTGAGCAGTTTTGAAGTGGCCAATTTGAACTGGGTGGAGCTGAGTTGCCGAAGCAGTGTAGAGGCTGGGAGAGGAGGCAGGTTGCCATCCAGTGCTGGCTGGAGACCAGCTGCCTTCACCAGGAGCAGTACCAGACCTTTGCATTTCCACTGGGCGTCACCCAGACATCAATTTGCTCCTACACCAAGGCTACCAAACGAGTAAAATACTAGTATGTATCAGAGTGACAAAATTTGGAATATGCTTAGGAAACACTTAGGTAATGGCCACAAGCTGAAGCATAAGAAGTTCCGTCTCCAGGTGAGGAGCAACTTCTTTACTGTTAGGGTGACAGAGCAGTGGAACAGGCTGCCCAGGGAGGTTGTRRAGTCTCCTACTCTGGAGGTCTTCAAAACCCGCCTGGATGCCACCCTGTGCCACATGCTGTAGGTGTGCCTGCTTGAGCAGGAAGGTTGGACTAGATGATCTGTAGAGGTCCCTTCCAACCTTAAATATTCTGTGAATCTGTGAACACTAATGTAAACCATAGGGGGGAAAAAAGTGTATCTCTATGCACAGAGTGGTTTGTGGTATGGACCATCTGTGGTTTGTTGTGCTATTGTTTAAATATACTTGCTCCCCTGCTTACCTTATGTTGTGTCTTGGAGCTCTTTGGGAGGAAGATAAATGCAGCTCAAGGAAAGCAGCAGAATACCTTAGACCTATGGTTAGGGAAGAGACTGGGATAAAGATTTCCCAGGGCTATCTCYTAGAATAACTCTGACCTGTCCAAAAGAGTAATGATTTCATGAATAAAGCAAAAGACAAGAAATCCAGAATTTCTGCTTGGTTCTACTTGTATTCTTGGGCAGGACACTTTCTCCGGTTTCTGTCTGCTGTGAGTTATTACTCTGGTGATGGGATCCAAGAGAAGTCTTTTTTATTTTATTTTTTTTTCTTGAACAGGTGTAAGAACTAATACATTCATAGGTGATGTGACTTGGACAAAGCAATAAGACAGTACATCTGCTCTGCTAGAAACAGTAAGTGTTTCGTATCACAAATACGTTTTAGCCATTGTTAGGTATTTATAAGCAGAGTTAAACAGCTGCTTGCTTATTTTTCTGATGCTTTATGGAAAAGGGAGAGTATTATATTTTGCTCCGGACAGCAGGAAAAGAAAAAGGCTTCTTTTTTCATAATTCTCTAGTCTTTCGTCATTGGATGGATTAATTTAACCTCTTCACTATATATCTCATTTGACTGATCTAGCTGATTGTTGAAGCCCCCTGAAATATATCAGTGATGGTGCTGTTCTGAGCTCTTATTTCTTCCTCCTCTTTATTATAAAGTACTTGCGATTCTAATATTTCATTCTTATGACAAAACTAATATAGAACAAAAGATAGCTTCTAACCAAAACAACATCTGTCCTATGAATCTTATCAGAAAAGGAAAATGATATAAATTGTCTGGTACTACTGCTGCTTTCTGGGTGCTGATTCTCCAGCCAGCAAAAGAACCGATTTCTGTTCTGCATCAGTACTGCCTAAAATTGTAATTTCTAATGACAGAGTCAGGCTGTAGCTCTGGAGTTGCAGAACCAAGATCCAAGTTCTGGAAAGGCCCTTCTAGGTTGAAAAAACTGGGCCATAGCCATGGTTCTGGGAAGATGAGTTTTGCCAATCTGACCCTGGCATGATAGTTACCTTTGTCCAGAGCAGCAGAAACTCAGAGAAAAGGCTGTATGGTTTGATTAAAAAATAGAGCAACTATGGGCTTTATCCCTCTAAGAGTGTAGTCCCAAATCCACAGCTTCTTTTCATCATTCTGGTAAGTTCTTGACTCTGCCTCCTGTAGGTCAGGAAGGAGAAAAAAAAAATGAATATTATTGTTATTTCTTGGCTGGAGATGCTCAGATACTGAAGCAATGGGGAAGAGCATCATTTTGCTGGGGCGCCAGGGTGTGCATCTGCTGGAGGTCCTGCTGACACCATCCTTCCCCATGGATCACCCATGGAGATGTGGGCAGCAGAGCCTTCCTGCACGAGCCCCTTCTGGGCACAGGAGCTGGGTTTTATTTACAAGGTGTTTGTGCAGTTGCTAGGAGACCAAGTCTCTGCTTCCAAAGAGAGGTGGTTTCCAGTGTTAAGATGGTTCCTCTCACAGCCACAACTGCTTATGCTCCCCTGCTTCCTGAAGAGCTGTGGGCATCTGCTGTTGCAGGAGCTGAATCCCGGCCCTGCAGCCGCACGTTGCCGTCTCTGCAGCCACCCTGCAACGTGGCCACAGAGGAGTTTATGTGAGGCCCRCCTGAACACCCACAACGTGAGGTGTTTGCACAGCTGCAGCTGGCTGCGTGATGGGTTGCTTGTTTGTTTTTTTCCTTTGAAGCAAATRCTGTAGCAGTTCTTAGAAATCGAATTGTAGCTGCTCAGAGAGAGGACTGCCCTTACACAAACGTTCCAAGTGTGTTTTCCCTGTGTGACCCTGAAGGTTCTTAATTTTAATCATATAAAGATACGCTGACTGTTTGTAAACTGTCACTTCCCAATACAGCAGGCAGGTGATTAGGGATTTAGGTATTTTATTGGTGATTATGTAGTGTCAATATGTTCCACATGCTTTCATGAGACCAAGAAGACAGTGACAGTATCTATGCTGCACATCTAATAGCCTGRCCTAGCAAATGAAAGGCCACATAAACTGTACAGGAGAGTTAGTATTTGCCTCTATATTTTAAAAAAATATTTTAAAATACTTTCTGTCTGTTTCATCTTTTTGAAGACATGACTGGTGTAGAGTGATGCTGATGGTTCCGAGGCTCAGAAGTGAACTGCTAAGAGTGGCCCGTAGATGGCAATGTTAGATGCTTAAATGTGGCATATTCTCCCCTGTGCACTGCTGCAAACATTATCTTGGCCAAAACATTGAAACCCAGAATGAATTTAGGCTATCCTAGTAACTCTTCAAGCAGAATGACCAAGGCCACCTCCATTGTTTGTCGTGTATTTTGAGTATTAGAGTTATTTTAAGAAGAAAAAAATCATACTCAAGTACAGAAAATAACTACAGAAATCAAATTACAGGGACTTTTTTCTTCTTCTGGTTTTGCATATCAGTAGTATGCCTAAAACTGAAATGTGTGTCAAGGTCTTGTGCAAGTGCTTTAATTACTTTAGTTGTGGACCGGAGTTACAGCTGTATCTGTAGCAGATACCTGCACTTCCACAATGTTTGACCTGATTTGCTTTAGGACTGTGAAAGTTTTGGCTGATAAAACTCATTTTTTTTCTCTGTATGTGACATAAAGTATGTGACTAATGAAAATGAGCCACATTGCTGAGTGATGGTTTGAAATAATTATGTCAAAACATTATGTCTCTATAGAGAGATATATAGCTATGGAAACATGCTAATACATGCAACTTTGTTCTTGATAGACACACCATAACAATGATATTGTTATACCGAGCAGAAAAATAAACATTACTGAACTTGTTGACCATCCTACTTGCATGACTGAGGGCCGTGAAATTAGCTGGCTAATTTCAGAAATAAATGACCTTGGATTTTTAGTTCCAATCTCTAGATGGTAGTTGAGTAATGGTATTCCAGGCCAGTCACTTGAACAGGCTAATAATGTAGTTTACAGGCCTGTTTTTCTGGCTTCACAACGGTTATAGGAATAGAATTATGATTGTAATTAAGTATGACTGTTAAACTGCAATATTAAAAAAAAAGGATGCCCAATAAGGGAGAAGCTAAAACTTCAGCTTGACAGTATCACATGTGTTTATAYGCCCTGGCAGACTTCAGCATTGTACAAGGCTGTTCAGCTCATGTCAAAATGGCTACAGGGATAATGAATGAATATTTATAAAGTGTAACAAATGCTCTCAAATTATCCTAATTGGCACTCTGTGTTCCCTGTTATGGCACAACTTTATTTCTCTTCAAGTGACATGTACTTCTGGATTATTTCCCATGTTCAAAGAGAAAGTAAAAGCCCTCTTGGACAGGACCAAAACATCCTGACACTTTTGATCTTTTCTTCAGTACTTTCTTTGCTATGCTTTCAGCAAGGCTAAGGATGTTCATTATATCTTTGGTGACTTCTCAAGAACATTACGGAAAATAAAAGATACTAAAAAATGATAAATAAAAACCATGAGCACAAAGGGAGGAAGTTCTAATTTTATTGTTAATGATCGATAGGCCAAACTCTGAACTTTTTTTTTAGTTTGGCATTGCAGGCAGAATTCTCCTTGACTTTTTGTAGTATATGAATTTATCTTTATTTGTGGTGTGTGGTTTTACACAGTGCTGTACAGTTACTGCCTGATGATGAACAAGAAATACTGTCCCAAGGACTTACATTCTAATGTGAGAAGACAAGACAGAAGAACATGCACAAAGCTGCTGTGCTTTAGTGAACTGGAGGATTCAGATTAAAATCAGTCTTCTCCTGCTCTCTCTCTAGGTTTTTATATGGTCATTGCTAAGTCAGTAACATCAAGATCATTAGCAATGCAGAAAAGGGATAGTTAAAATGCCATAGATGAGTGATAAATGGGTAAAGTGGGTAAATCTAATGTTAAGCATTTTCCATTTAGCAATAAAACTTATGGAGACTACTTTTGGTCATGGTCATTAGCTCATCTCTTGCGGTGAACTTTACCTTTGTGCCTTCAGTCCATCTGGTGTCTATGTGTTGCACTGTTGTGAACTCAGGAGGACCCATGGGCCACCAAAACGAGACAATCTGCCTTGTACTTCAGGTGATGGSTTTTTATTTTCCTGTACTTTTGCTATGCATGTCATCTTTTGGATAAATAGATACTAAAGTTGCTTTAAAATCTCTAATAAGGAAGCCAACAGCAGCTATTAACAGCAGACCAAGACAGGCTATATAATACTGTAGCTGCTTCTAATGTAGGTGAAAATTATGGGTGAACCTGGGCCACAGTCAACTGCTCAGGTCAGCTGGCAAATACAGAGATTGGTGACCCAGCCTTCAAAGTCACATTTGTCATTTAAAAATTTAATTTCCAATTAAATACAGTCAGTTAAAGCTGTATGGATTTAGGAATATCTAGCCTAATTTTCATCTGGTTGCGAAACCATGAGTGGCATATGAAGTTTCATAGTTTTGTTGTGCTAAATACCTGTTGCTTTCTGCTTGTTTTAACTTTCCAGTATTTTGTCTTATCTAAGCAAAAAATGCTCAGKAATTGTGTGGAGCACAGCTATTGCATGGCCGGGTGTGAATGGGTGATCCTGATCAAGACGAAGCTGATCTCTCTGGACCTTGCATTAGGGTTCTTTGCAATGCTTCATATGCAGGGAATGAGATGTGGAAAGGCCAAATGATGGAGATTTAGTGGTGGCAGATGGTGGTGGTTCTGTGCATGTGAAGAATACAGTTAGATTACATGAGAGACCTGAATTAAGTGTGCAGTTCATTCTAGGCTCCCTATAAATAGAGAAGCAGGGAGAATATAAAAGTGAGAGAGAGAATATATTTTCCCAGTGGTGATTCAGATCTTTTGGCAACTAGGTGGCTATTTCAAGCGCTTTTGGTAAGTACCTAATACTAATTTTGGTGACTCCTTCTTGTTCTGTAGCCTAAAGGGTGAAGATCATTTGAGTGGAGAAGCTCTGCTTACAGAGAGATTGCTATCAAACCTTGTTTTTAATTACTGATCTGAAGCAGTTGGAATGAGTGCCTTCCTACTGCAACAGTTTTTGCGCTTGCATCAGCCTGAATACTCAGTTAAACTCTACCCACACAAGTCATGAATGTATGGAACATGCCAGTTTTCCCTCCCAGACACATGTATCTGGTGATGTGTAAATCCATGATTCAGATCTGCATAATTTCTTTTTTTGTTTAATTGGACACTGCTAAAGCCTCTGACTATTCACTGATGCTACTGAAGCTCCTGACTGAAAATCCAGAGTGCTGAACTACAGTGGAAAAAAAAGGGAAATATAGTGGGGAAAAAAAGAGAAAGATAGACAACTCCTATATATTCCCAAAAGAGATTTTTTTCTAAGATCGCGACCTCCAGTGAATGTGTAATACAAATCTTAAATTAACTCCAACTCACCTTGAAAATGATGTTCTCTAATGTGAAGCTAAAGAGAAACCTTGTGGGTTTGTCTCTGCAGCTTGCCAGTGTTACACTCATCAAGTGACTTTTATTGCTTTTGTTACCCTTTTTGAGGAGATGGGGAAACTGAGATAATTTTATTCCCTAAGAAATGCCTGATTTCACAGCCAGTCTGCTTCAGCGGGCAGTGCACATAGACAAATTCTCCCTCAGCTGCTGGTCACTTCCCACATTGACCCTAGGTTGTCAACGATGCCAATAACCCCCTTTTCACAAGAAGCACATGAAAATGAAAGGGCTAAAACTTTATTAATCAAAATTAGTACAGCTACGGCTGTTTTGATTTCGTACTATACATATGACTGCAGTAGACGCAGGATAATATAAATAGCAATGCAAGCCTATCTCTGTTGGAGACATGCATCACTTCCTAGCAGTGGCAATTTGAACAATTCCTTAGACTTCATAAAAGCACAAAGTGTTTTTATTGGACTTTCTTGTTGACTGCACATGCTGTTAAAAGGGAGGRAAAAAAAAGAAGAAAAACAAGAAAGGAATGATAGATGACTTGGTAGCTGTCAGCTGTGTCAGTAGAAACAGTCAGCTTTTGAATCGATCCATTATTTTCATGAATTTGACTAAAATTTTAGATAATGTGCTGTAAAGAGACATAATGATCTTAAACCTCCAGCCTTCACAGTAGAAGCTGGAACACAGCATGTGGGTTTCATACTAATGTGCTCTTAAGTTGCAGAGCTGGATTTATTTAGCAATAGGGCTACAGTATGTATGACCTCATGTAAAATATGAGCAAGTTAGTTACAATGATTCACAGTAAAACATGTTGATATTCTCCAAGTGATGCGTTGCCAAGTACAGAATTACAAGGGGTACATCCTGAACAGTTTATTTGCTCCTGACTTGGGCAGAGCTCTCGGGAGGCAAGAAAGGCAGGATGCTTTCAGGCCTCAACCAGCATCCAGCTTCAGAGTTTTGTTTTGTTTTGCTTTGACAAAGACTGCAGAATGAAACTATAGTTTTAGAATTATTTTTTTTTAAACTCACAAGATTAGCAAGCATTAACTAAGTGTAAAGAGACTGAGAAAATGGCCAAATCTTCAGCATGTGTTACCCAGCATAAAATTTAAATAATATTAGGTTTGGTAACCCTGGATTTCTCCTTGTAGTTTCTTATTTATGGCTCAACCTGTCAAAAATATTCATATATAACTCTCTGTTGATCACAGGACTAATTTAATTACCAGTTCTTTTTATAATGCTGACACAAAGGTAGAAGGATGCATAGTACTTGTATTGAAGCCAATGCTGCAGATGATAAAACATTTTTGAAATTAGAAAATTTTGGATGAAAAATGTGTCCCTTTTTTTGTCACAATGTTCCTGTTTTTTGTCCAACTCTAATTAAAGCTGAAGAAGGAGAGTGAAAAGCTGGTTACATTCCTAGTTCTGGCATATAATTAATTGCCAAGAACTCAGCCTAGATATCTTAACTCTGTGCACTAATGTTCCAGAGACCTCTTTACTTATGACAGGGTGGAGACTCTTGCAGTCCCAATTATTTCTATTTATGAAATGGATTTTTAAAACTTTTGGAGTTATTCTTTAAGAATAAGGATACCATACCAACTTTAGATGTAATTTTAAAGATATTTGAGAAGGAAAAATGTATAACATAGGCTTGGCCATGCAGCGTAGGTTGATGAACTAATCCCATCTCTTTTTTAAAAATATGAATCACAGAACCATCACACATTCTGGCATTTCTAGCAACCTGCTCAAGTAATGCCAGTGAGCAATACTAAGTCTCCAAATTAAGATAGAGGGGCAGACTCCAGATAATGGAGACTCCGCTGTTTTTTAGCTCTCAAGAGTTAATAATGAGTAAAATTTACCAATAAAAAAAGATGAAACTCTTAAATTTAGCTTTTCTTTACCTCTGAGAACACACACAGTCAAACAAATGGGTTTGATTTTTCTGTTAAGTTCCTGGATTTTGTCTCTGGAGCAGTTATGCAACCCAGTTGCGTTCCCTGTAAGCTAAATGGGAGGCCTCTCATTAATCTCCATAGAAACAGGTGCCAAACCTGAGGGTCCCTCACCTGTGCACTGCCATGGGCTTCAGCCTGGACCAAGACTTGTGTGTGCATGAAGAACACACGCTTGTGTTTTGAGGACTTAACTGCCTTCATGTATCCTATTGTATTCTCAGTTGGCAATGATATCTGTAGTAATGGTAGAGGAACAGTTAAGTAAGTCACTCATGATTGAGGACAGTTAAGTGTAAAGCTGCCAATCTCCCCACCCCATGACTCAAATGATATTTTCTTTTTTCATCATTGGCATCTTCCCACGACCATATATTTTTTGCCTCTTTTGGGAACCAAAGGCTGAACGTGAATGGTGCCGCAGCACCGATTTGCCAAGTAATGGTAGGGTGTCCCCTGGAAACAGTCCTCTCTCAATTCTGCTTCTATCTGAAGTAAAGCGAAAAGACATGGCAACAGATGGTAGGGAACGACTGGCGTGTATCAGATATGTTTCATTTGATTTGCAGCTAGTGGCCCCTTAATAACAATATTAAATGATACAAAACTCAAAGACTTTGTTCCTGGGAGTACTATATTCGGCGACACAGGATCAACGCCATAACTTCATCTAAATTTTGAAACTGGTGACCTATGACTATTTACATTCCTAAGCAAGGTTGCCTGATGATACAAACAGCTCAATTCCTTCCTTTCTATTRCATTTAGGGCAAAAGAAAAGATGCATTTGCCTTTGTGAATGACAAATCATGATGCTTTTTAAGAGCAGAAGGGGATGAATATACCGTGTTAGTTCCATTGTGCTCCTGCTCTGTGGCATTCTGCTTGGAGAGAATTTGATCACTGATTTTGTTCTATTTACATTATACATAAGKACAAAAAAGGGGGATAGCCTGTTTAATGATTATATACATTCTGAACTGATTGAAAAAATGTGTATTACAAATGACAACGCAGCCTGTCAGTACATAATTATATGTTGTTCCTGTTTTTTCCAGAGAACTTTTAAGTCTCAAAATCCCACTCTATGATCTCATAGGAAGAGCTATCCTAGCTATACATTTTGCTTGAGGGGGGTCAAGAGCATGGAGAAAGGAAGGAACAGCATAATAATAGGCTTCTTAAACCACATGAATTCCTGCTTAATAGCCACTTTTCTTCATTTTAATATGAGGGTTACCRTTGTAAAACTCTTCTTCTAAAGCAAATTAAAAGATGGAATCTGATACAACAAAACATTACTTGACATTAGGAGAAATAGTAACTTAAATTTCATTCATTGTCCCTAGCCTCAGAAGAGATACTGGGGAATAAAATATCACTCCCCTGTGATGCATTGCTTATCTGTGACTTTGTTTTTAATAAGAATTGTGCTCTCCTGTACATTATTCTCTCCTGTTCCTGCTTTAGCTCAAGGTAGGAGCGTGAGAACGTGTGGAAAATGGAAGTGACTGGGAATGCCATGAGGAGGATGCCGCTCAGTATGCTGCTCAGTGCCACCACCTGGCCGGGAATGCTCCTGGGCACCATGTCGCCGTAGCCCACGGTGGTCATGGTGATGACGGCCCACCAGTAGCACGCGGGGATGCTGGTGAACTCCTGCGAGTCCGCCATCTCGTTCTCCACGACGTAGAGCAGCGGCGCAAACAGCGCGATGGCCACGCAGAGGAAGAGCAGCAGGAGGCCGAACTCGCGCGTGCACCTGCGGGCCGTCAGCCCCAGCGTCTGCAGGCCCAGCGAGTGCCGCGCCAGCCGCATCACGTAGAGAATCCGCAAGGCACGGAGGATCCGCAGGACCAGCCCCACTTTGTCCAGGTAGATGCTCCCAGAGCTCGGCTTCTTATAGCCCACTGAGGTGGTGTCTAGTAGCAGAGTGATGTAGTAGGGCAGAATGGCTATTATGTCTATCAGGGTCAGCGGTCTCCTCAGAAAGGCAAATTTGCTCTTTGCCTGGATGAACCTTAGCAGGAACTCCAGTGAAAACCATGCCACGCAGACAGACTCCACAATGAAAATGTTGTAGCACATCTGGGAACACTCACCCTGGAGGAAAGAGGAGGAGGTTGTAATCAGCATTTGGAGAATAAGTATTTTAGTTGGTATAATAGCAAGAAAAGAGGTGGTTGCTTTTTTTTTTTTTTTCCTTTTTCCTAATAGAACCAAAAATATTAAAAGAAGTTGAAACTGTAGTAGTGGGGAAACAATCTGACAAACTGCAGCTATGAGATAAATGCAAATTTTTAAAAATAACTATACTTATTCCACAGATGACATTACTCAGTTATTTCAGGCTTTACAAAGCTTAAAAAGATAATATACAGTTGTAAGAAGAATGCACACTAGCAACATTTCCTTTGGACAGGAAACTCGATATGGTTGCTTCTCTTACAAGTAACTGAATACAGTCATGTAACACTTGCAATATTCTTCTTGTTGTTCCCACTGAGGACAGATACAAAATTTTTAAATATTTAAATTTAATATTTAATTTAATAATAATAACAATAATTAATAATTTAAATTTATAATTAAATAATAATTAAATTATTAAATAATAATTTAATAATAATTAATTGATTKAATATTTAAAACAATAGAATCAGATCCTGTATTTGTTCTGCTTTTCATAGCACATACTAATTTCCACCCCAAAAACCTAACTTACCCTTTCTTCCTCCTCCCTTAGGTCAGGCATGGTGCTGATGGACAAGTTCACTGCTGTAATAGTTACAAATAAAACAGACAAACACGCAAACACCTTCCCAGGGAGGCCAGACTGGGGCCTTTCCACCATGTCTTGCAACTTTTTCATGCACAGGCCAAATTTTGTCTCCTCCACRGTTTCACCTGGGATTTCATTTTCTAGCAGATCATCTTCTCTTTCATTTATTTCTGTAAGCTCCTCCATTTTTTGCAGGTATCTCCTTTTACAACACCAGTCCAAATTGTCTTCCTCGATTCCCCAGTAGAGCAGCTCCTCCTGGAAGGACAATGCACACATCTCACGCAAGAGCCGAAGTTTTCCAACCCGCAAGAAGGTCAGGATGGTCCTGAAGGCTCCAGGATTGCGGTCGAAAAAAAATTCATTACATGTCACATCATAGTCATCACAGATGTTCAGAATGTCATCAAAATTGTTACAGAATTTCAGTTGGCCCAAACGTGTCAATGGGAATTCATCAAGCGTGGTCCATGGGAGCAAATACTTAATGCCTCCTACGTTTATAATAATATGATGCTTCCGATCATCTGAGTGAATGCCTTTCAGGAGATCTTCTTGTGGGTGAATTAGTCTGGCTCTTTGGTAAAAGACTCCCTTAAGGGTTTCTGCTTCTGGAAAGAACGTGTGGTTGAAGGAATTATCTGAAGCACAGCTCAGGGCACTATAGTCATAATCAGAATTTTCTCCTGGTAAAAGAGTCATCTTGGAAGCTAAGTTCACATCACTTCTGCAAGTGTCTTCTGGAACAGAACCAGATATTTGGATTTACTGAGTGTTTGGCCTTTTCCAGCTTTTGGAAGAAATGTAGTAACTGAAGCTTGAGAATATTTCAGGTTGGTGAGATAACTGAAAGGAAAACAGTAGTGGCTGTTCAACCACAACAGTGGTTTCTAGTGAAGCTGGTTTGGTCCTGTTGGGTAGAACTGACTGTCAGGGTTTCTCTCTCATCCAGGAGCTCTGCTTGGTGTTTTTGTCATGTTGGGGGGCTGCTCCTAGCTCAAATGCAGAAGTCTTGGTTCCCAGTGCAYATACAGGGGTTGATCAGAGAAAATAAGGATATGCATGTGGCAGGATTCTCCTGGTTCAGAAGCAAAGTATAAAAATTAAGCTAGTATCTCAAACACACAGAACTCAAGGGTGTTTTGTGGAAAACTATTTAGCTAATATACATAAAACTAAGTATTCTAGTAGCCATTAACCATGCAGAAATAATCAGAAATCAGTTAAGTTAGAATTTACTAAAGGTACACTTTTAAAAAGAGTTACTACAAGAGTTAATTTATAGAAAGCCACATGAAAAACATTTCGAAAAAAGCATGCTTGCATTGATGACTGCAAAACGCTTGTAAATACATTTAGTGTCTATACATTTAGTATAAGTTTAATGGCATGACATCTCCTTTCTAGAAACTTATTTACAAAAGATTGTTAAGAAATATCTGATTACACAAACATTGCAATGTTATTTCAATTATAATTGATACCCTATAGCCAGTAACAGATCTGTGCCACTGATGTATTGCACAGTAGATGAGCATACAGATGGCTTCTGTCATTGCTGAAAACAATTTTTTAAGCCATGACTTTGTGAATTGGGTTCAAATTCTGCTTGCACAACACTAGAGCAAGGTCTGTAGAATTAAATCACCACAGACTCCAAATGGGTACAGAAGTCATGGAAATGTTGAACTTCTCTCTCTAACTTAAAAATCAGTCTGGAAGTTAGCTCCTGTATGGRGGAATTACCCAGTCCTGGTTGAAGATCCTTCATCCATGTGGTCAGCTGCACTTACAGCATGGAACTACTGAGGTTCATTTATTGATAAAAGCATTTATTAGAAAGGTTGCACAATAAATAAAATATGAAAATATTCTGAATTTCTAGCTTCAAGTGCACAGAAAAGTTAATAAACATAAATATTATATTTCAATGACTTCAATAGCAGTATATAGTTTAGTTCTCCTCCTGGCTGAACTTACCTTGTCTTTAATATGCACCGTGGGGAATATGTGCCCCTGCTAGGGTAACGTCCTTAAACACAGAACTGCCGTTTTCAGAGGCTGGAGTTCATAAAACACATCAATTGTGTTACGTACCTATTACAGAAAAAAAATAAATCCATGAATACGCAACAGTAGACCACTTAAAACATGGTTGCATTTCAGTTCAAGTGTAGCATGTGGTCTTTGCTGCAAAGGGATTTTAAATGCTGCCTTCAATAAAATATTATCTAAGTCCTGCTCTGAAACTCCACAGAATGAGTATTCTAAAAAGAACAGAGTTTTTCCTGCCCTTAAATACCTGCTTGGTGTGGAGTCATATCTCATGGTTCCTCTTTCGTCATACTTTTTAGTACCAAAGGAAATCATTCCTTATCTCTGGGATAAAAGAAGTCTACTGGAATGTGCAAGAAGTCTACTGGAATGTGCATTCTTAATTCCAGAATGTACTGGAATTAAGCCTGAGGGCTTAATTCAGGTAATCCAAGTGCTAAGGAACTTTCTGGCCCGAGGTAAGCAAAGAGGTAAGCGCTGTGCRCCTTGCTGGTGTCAGGGATGTTTAGAGCAACTATTTGGAGAGGAGTCCGTTCCTTATGCCAAAATCATACACATGCCTAATTCTCTGTGTCTTATCACTGTGCACTTGCTCACCGAGCTGAGCTGCTCTTCTCTTGCTTTGGAGTTAAGAGTCTGGAAACCCTTGCAGCTGGGTATGGACCATCCCAAACCAAGGGTAAAAACCCCAGTACCCACATGCAGGCCTGCCCTTAAAACAGCAACCCATTTCAGCATGTCTTGTCTCAATAAAGGCAATAAACTGAGCCCTCAGTTCTGAAAATCTCGTTTCCTGAAAGAACATTAACTCGAAAATAAAAAAGCCACATTCTAGGAAATTCTAGGCAACGCCAGGATTATCAGTGGAACTTCATGACAAATGACAGCACTCTGCTCTTACCTACTGGTAAAGCTGCAGACCTCAGATAAGTGAACAAATCTGAGGAAAACAATAGGCAGTTGAGATAGGGACAGCTAGAGCATGTTGAACAGAAGTAAGGAGCAGGTGAACTGGCAATTACCCCAGGCAACAGTCCCATCACACGGAGCATTCCTAATGAGCCCATGGCCAGACTTCTACTGAAGCAGCCCCAAGATCCTGTCCATTGGTAGAAATAATGTCATGGGGAGTTTAAGCTTTAGCTGGGAAAATGGTGCTCCCTGATGTATGTTTATATAGGGCTCTTTTCCTTGGAGTAACTTGTTTTTTGTAGAAACCATCTTTCCCCCTCTCTGCCTCAATGATGTCCTGGACTGAGGGGCTGGTCCAAGGAGAATAAAGATTATGATTAATGGAAGATTGTGGACAAATGAGACCTAAGTTAAGCCTAAGTTAACCATATTCCCTTCAGCTATACCTGATGATATCAGTTAATAACAACTTCTGCCCTGAATCTCAGCCAGGAAAAACGAAGAGGCAGCTCCTCTCTGTAGCTAGTTTCATCTCCTACCACGTCTACTGTTGACAGAAGAGGAAGAAATGGGAAGAGGGAAATGTAAATGTTCTGCATGTCAGACGTGCACCGTAACCCCAAGGCATCAACTGTGAAATAACAGGGTGAGGAAAGGGACTTTCTTTCTTTGCTTCCAGCCTCTCGACCTGTGCAAGACAATAAATGGGACAAATTAATCCCCTGTGTAACACACACAATGGCTGCAGTTATAAAAGATGGGTCCTTCTTTTTCCATCATGGGAACTGGCGCGTCAACAGACTCCACATAGAAACTACAATATTTCATGCTATATACACCTTATTTACATATTCTTTACCTCTGATGCACATAGCATCCTGTCTCAGAAAAAGAGAGGGGAAAATAAAGGATGATAAAAAAATGGCCTGACTTGAAGGAAAGGAGGAAGGAAAAAAATAAAGCACTATCCTTCTCTCTCTGCTTCTTGTTTCCCTTTGGAAAGCGCTTCTGCAGAATGATGATCAGCACTGCTTTACGACAGGAGATGCCYGATTAATGGAAGGGTTTTTTGCTAGTGAGCGAACAACAAGCAAATTGCTTTATTCATACAGCGCCGGCTGATGACAGTGTGGATAGCTGTAAGAGATGCCTTAAGGATTAAAGACAAYGCTTTGGAATGTAAAGTCGGACAAACGGACTAGTCTATAGCAACAATTTCCCCAACAATTAAACGAGGAACTTCAAGGATGTGCTGCAATGTTAAAATCCCCAAATAAAACTCATGTGGGTTAAGGCCAACAGTAAAATCCTACACATCTGCTCCTTGTCTGCAGTACCCTTCTGCCCTTGCCTTGGGAGTTTGTGAATCCCTGTTCTTCCCAGCTCTTCCTGCCTGCACCGTGTGCTCGGCTGGCGCAAAGAATTTCTCTCCAAGCACCCTCTTGTCCTGTTTTGTCTCTAAGCTTGTGGGGCAAGAACCATCTTATACTGTGTTATAAAATCCTGAGCCTAGTTCTGGCTTTTAACAGCTGTGATAATCCTGAAGAGCTGGCCCACAGCAAGGGCCACAGTGTGCCRGGGACTCCGAAGGGCACGGGAAGCAAGCAAGAAGGAGCATTTCAAGAATCTCTCTTGCACCACATGATATCCTTGTCCATTATGTCTGGGGAAGAAATCGAATTAGAAATCTGTACTGCCCTCACTTCCAGCGGAAATTCAGGAAAAGTGCCAGAGTACTAGACAAAGGGGAAAGAATTATTAAAGATGTCCTTCTGAAGGAAAGAAAGAGAAATCACGAGTAACATGCTAAAATTCTACCTCAAGTGTTGATTCCCCCCCCCCTCCAGTGTCCTCTGCAGTATTTTGAATTCTGCAGTGCATCTCTGATGTAATCAGAGCTCCTGCAAGGCGTCCTGATACGGTTCCGTGATGCAGACAATTCAAAGTTGTGCCTGGATCACAACAAGAGTGCAGGGAAGAGGCAGAGCCCCCCCAGACTCTTGCATCAATTCTCCTCCCTGGATCATCTCTGTTGCTTTTTGCTGCCTGTAGATCCAGGAAAACAAGTTTCAGTGCAGGGTGAAAAACAATCTAGTGATTTTTCGGCAAGCCTTCCACAAGCAACTGCCTTGCAGTTTAGTGATCCTTCCTCCTTTAGGCTTTCCTTAGTGAGAAAGGCAGCGTTTTCCAGCAGAACAGGATTCACCTCTCCCTGACACCTGGCCTCCGTACTGCAGCACTGCGCAGGGCGCCTCGCCGAAACGCTCCCCTCGCTATTCACACAGCTCCTCGCGTAGGAACAACCGGGCTCAAACTTCAGCTCTCTGCTTGCAAAGTGAACTTCTAGCCAAATCAGAGTAAAGCTCGTGAAGGTCAATGCATAGCATCAAACAAAATCATCCTGAAAAACATTTCTGGAAAAAGAATACGCTCGGGTCTGCTTACTGCTGTCCTTGATCTGCTTAGTGTTAGGTTTTTGGGCATGTTATAGCAACCTACAAACTGAATAAGGAYAAATGCAACTCAATGTTTTGTTTTATTTTGGATTGTTGCTGAGCCTTATACTGCCARTAGCACTGAAAACTGCAAGAAGTTTGCTGCAAAACTTAAATGTCCAGAGAAATGTTCAGAAATTTGCTATAACTGATAAATGGAATTTGTTCTTTGCCCTGAAACATCTTTGTTCCCTGATATTACAAAGTCACATCCTAAACAATCTTTTAAACATCTTAAAAACTAAAGGAGTTTTATTTACATAGATAAACCTTTTGCCACCAAACCGAAGAGCTACCCAGGCACAGAGGAGTTGCTGTTCTCTGTCTCCCACAAAGTCTTTTCCAATGGAAAAAAAAAAGAATTGCCAGAAATACAGAATTGCCTACCCAGAGCAGTCAACTTTCTGCGTTAGCTGCTCATGAACAGGAGTCGGTGAATGTAAACCCACGGGCGCACAAGGCGAGCCGTCCTCGTTTTCGGAATCGGAGCTGAGAGGGACCGTCAGGGCAGGCGAAGCAGCCGGGAGCGCCGGAGCCTCCCCCGCGCTCCGCGCTCCGCGCAGGGGCGGCCCGAGCCGCGCAGGGCGCCCCGCTCTGCGGCACCGGCTGCGGCCGCCGGGCCCCGCGCAGCGCAACGCGGGCCCGGGGCCGCTTCCCGCACCCGCTGCACCGCAAGACCTGTTGCTGCTGCTGCAGCATCGCCCGACCCCCGCGCTGCCCCTCGCGCCGCGCTGCTCCCGCCAAGGAAAAGCAAAAGTTCCCTGGAAACTTGCCTGGAAGTTGCCCCGGGCCGGGGGCCGGCGGAGCCCCGCGGCGGGCGGCATCGGGCGGCGGGGCGGGCCCGGGGCCCGTGCGGCGGCTGGCGGCGGAGCGGCGGCGCCCCGAGCCCGTGCATGGTGCGCGCGGGGCCCTGCGCGGGGCGGAGCGCGGCGGGGCGGAGCGGGGCGGGACAGGACGGGACCGCGCGGCGCCGCCGGCCCCGGCCCCGAGCCGCCGTGCGGAGCCGCTCCGCGACCCCCGGCGCTGCGCTCGGGGAGGSGCCGGGGGCAGCAGGGACCGCAGCCAGCGGGGCTCCAACTGGGCCATCCCGGTGCGCGGTCCCGTGCGCCGCCCCGGGCAAGCCTAGGTATAAGCTGGACTTGCCCACGCTCACATCCCGCCGCCGGCAGCGACTCSCCGCAGCAGAGCTCGCCCTGTGCCCCGCGGTGCCCCTGCGCACGGCAGGGACGAGTCASCCGCCAGCCTTGGCTGTGGAGCAGCTAATGCCCTAGGCGCCCGGTGGAGGCTTCACGGCTGGGATTTGGTCTCAGCTCTAACCCTGTGACTGAAGCAGTGCCCCAGGGCAGGAGACACCAGCAGCTCCTGTGCTGGCACAGGCTTCCCTTGCSGGCAAACTGGTCCCTCAGCTGGCATGGAGATGCTCCTGCTGCTAAACTTTCCTTTTTTTTCCTGCCCATTTAGGCCCTGGTTTAAGAAGGAGCTTCCTGCAGACCAAGTCCAGTGCCTTGGCGCAGGCCTGGGGGCTCTGTGGGCAACAACACTCCTGCCAGTGTGTCTGGAGCAAGGGAAGGGTCTCAATTCAAGCAAGGCCTTTTGTTGCTATGGTAATACAAAATAAACCCATGCTATGGTAAT